GAAGAGGATGAAAAAGGTGCCAATGAGCTTGAGTCCTTGGAGAAGCACAAGCACCTGCTGCAGAGTACTGTGAACGAGGGTCTCAGTGAAGCTATGAATGAATTGGATGCTGTTCAGCGGGAGTAAGTTCATCTCGCCAAGATTTATATATTGTCAGATTACTTATTTAACATTTCTATAAAACTGGATCTATTTTTATTTGCTTTAATTTATTTTATAGAGCTATTTGGGGTGGAAGGAGTGGTAAATAGAACTTAACTACAACTGCTTATAACATGAGATACTTTCCCTATCAACAGATACATTCTGCTCCTATTATATTATTGCCCACCAAGAAATCATTCATTTTTAGATCTAATTAATAAATGGATTCTTTCTCTGAAAACAGCATAAACACTTAAATCAATTCAAATAACTTTGGCTGTTTCTTAGTGAATTTTGATAAAATTCCTCTAAGCTTTAATAAACCCCACTAAGCTCTTATATTTTTAAGTTATATTTCCTAGAAATTATGTATGTTACATGGTAAAATGTAATTATACTAAAAATTATGGTCAGCCTACTATAACACAACATATTCCTTCCTAATAATTTTGTTGCAAAATCATGCAATAAAAGTCACAGAGCCTATGGGAAAATTGATACTGGGACATAACACTCAAAAACTCCATTAATAGCCAGGCTTGGTGGCATGTGCCTGTCACCCAGCTACTTGGGAGGCTGAGGCTGGAGGATCACTTGAATCCCAGTGTTCAAGGCCAGCCTGGGCAACATAGTGAGACCTCATCACTAAACAAATCAAATTAAAATAAAATAAAGCTCCATCGGTGACACACATAAATAAAAGATGGGAACCTAATAAAAATGTTAGCACAATGATAGTCATGTTTAATAGTTAAGAAATACTTAAATGCTACAATGAATATTGGACCCTGGACCTTAAAAAGACCTAGTTTGCTTTGGGAAACGGGCGTCAGAAGGTTGCAGCTTGTGAGTGACTGTGAAGAGGGGGGGAAAGAGGGTTACCTGAAGTGGGATGGAAAATTGGAACCTCAGTAGTAGATGCGTGTGGCTCATCACATATGCAGTGAACTGAGTAGCTGGTGTATGTTTGAAGTGTGCGCTTGTGTGTGTTTTGTGTATTTCTTTGCATCTGGATCCAGCTGGGTGCAGTTTTCTGCATTCACCAGGTATTTCTCAAGGAGGAAGTTGGCATAGCAAACATGGAATTTGCACTATGCTCAGATTCCACCTGATAAATCAATCCAATTGGAACAAATACATATTTCCACACAAACATAAAAGAACTGCCTGTATAGTCTGTTATATTTCTCAGAAATCCTTTATAATGAAATTATACATTGTCAGGTTTTCCTTCTCAGTTTGTTTCCCTTATAATTTTTAAAACTTACCTAGGAATAATTTTAGCCACACTATGTAATAACTGTAACTACAAATAGTGGCATCCTTTCTTTAAATATTCTGCCGTTGTATATATAATTCTCTTGTGCAACCTATATAAAATCAATGTACTGAATAGTTAATCCATAGGCTTTATATACACTTATATAAAATATATATTGTTTTAAGTCTTAAGTCACCCTAAAATAACCGAAAAATTCTTACTTTGACGTTATGAGTACAAGCCTTGAGAAAGTCATACCTCTTAACTTATTTATTTGTAGTCTAGGGACAAAAACTCAGTTGAGGTTTATTTGGCCTGCAGTTTTATTTGTTTTTGAATTTGAATGCCTAAAGATAAGACTTCTAGTGCCCCATTTGCAAATTTTCTGCCTTGTCCTGAAAGCATTTGAATGTATAGTCCCTTTGGAGACTCAGTTAAGACCATTTGTTCTAAAGCTTCATATGTTAAAGCATGAGGTTTTGGTGCTGTTTTGTCTTGTTGCTTGCAAAGGGTCTTTGAAAATGTTTTTATTTCTGCTTTAATGATTGAGAGATGGACCTCTGTGAATTATACATAGAGCAAGCAGCACGTAGACTTATATATCACAGCTTGTTTTTACTGAATATGGAAATGAAAAGTGAACTAACTAGAACTGATATATTGGTTTTTTTTTCTGGACAACTTAAACAAGAGTTTTTATTCTACAGATACCAACTAGTTGTCCAGACCACAACTGAAGAAAGACGAAAAGTGGGAAATAACTTGCAGCATCTTGTAGAGATGGCTGCTACACATGTAGTATCTGTAGAGGTAAGAGTATTATGGTCTTCCTTGCATTCTAAGAAAGATTTTTAAAACTGTGATATATTTCTTCTTTATTTCTATAGAAAATAAAGGATGAATTTTCTTTCTATTGAAAATATGATCTATTAAAAATTTATCAGAAGAATCCTGTCTAGTGTTGTAGCAAGAGGATGCAGGGGAACACTTGTAAATTTTATAAAGCAATCTGCTTTGTTTACATAAGCAACATACAGTGATACTTAATACATCAACAGTGTATAATGATGTCGTGCCAGCCATGTTCTACACACAGAAAACATATCAGTACATTTAGGATTTCATTAAGGTTAAAGTGAAAGAGTATATCTTATGACACGTGTTTTTTCTTTCTGTAATTTCATGTAAACAAAGAGTAAAGTATTTCTGAAGCATGAAGCTTATTACCTTATCTTCACTCTTTACTTAGCTTAAAAGTTCAATAAAACTTTAGAAGAAGTAAAACTTCTTCTAACCTGCTTTACAGAGCCCTTAAAAGCTAAGATAAATTTACAAACTATAAAATTCCTGGTTATTTTATTAGGTGATAATATATTTCCAGTTGAGAATGATTTAAGGAAAAAAAAATTCATTATCTCACATAAATAGGTTTCCATCATTTATTGAAAACGTGGGCATGTGATATCCCACTTCCCATCATCTCTCCTGAAAGACATTGAACTGCTTTCTGGCTTGCCAGTGCTCTTTACTGCTTAGTGGTAGGAACTAAGAAAGGCATCTGGATACTACATCAGAAAACCTGGGTTCTACTCACTTTCTAATTCAACCATTTAGTGGCTCTATAACCTTGCCTGATCCTTTTCAACCAGCATTATTTACCTGAACCATAGGCCAGAAAATGATCTGACTGAATATTTTCTCCTTTTCGCAAGGATGGTATGCAATAGTTCCATTCTAGATGCATAAGAGAAAAGTTCATTCATAGCACACAATTGATGGCTCAGAGTGAGAAAGTCTGCTTGTATATATCATTTTACATCTTTTGGTCTTCAGTTTCTTTGTCTGTTAAATGAAAGGGTTGTACTAAACAATTGTCAACGTTCTCAGTACTTCTGCGGTTCTGTTATCTGTAGCTATTAGTCTGTCCTCAGTATTAATCCAGTAGTGACTTATTACCAGGGATGTGTGTGAAAAGTAACCACAGCTATCAAAGTTTTAGTCACTTAAAGTTAGATTTGAAGATATAATGGTAGATTGCTATTCTTTTTTAGTTAATTTCTGTGCAGTTCAGTGTTTCAGAAGATCAGACCAAGTTTAATAAATATTTACTGATCACTTTGTACTATACAAAATTGATGATTAGCCAGTAAAAAAAA